ACTCCAAGCTCCGTATTTACAATTTACTTTTGGAGGATAACTTTGGAAAGTGTTGATTTTGTTTTTACAGTCCATACATAAAAAGTCTGTTGTGGCAATACAGAAAAAAATAAGCCTAAAATGATAACATATATAATGAACAAAGAAATATAGGTAAAATGTGAACAAAACCTGGAATCCTAGAAAGCTGAAGCAAGTTTCGTGTGTAGGATGAAGGACGTTGTTAGATGTTTACTTGTTTTATTTTGTTCTTGCTTTTAAATCTTTCTCTTTTTTGTATTTTACGAATGTGATGATTTGAACAAAACATTTGAATACGATTTTATAATATAATAAAACATTGAATATTTATGGAAATAAATGTTTACTGAAAGGAACGGTGTCACAATTTGACTTTATTAAAATAATATTTACAGTAAAATATCGGGTAGATGATAGAAGTTAGTTTGTAAAATAAATATTGTATAGTTTTCAATCATGAATATTTAGTTATAACACAGGAACCTACTTACACTTGTTTCTTGAGTGATACTATAATGCTCTTCATAACCAAACCTAGTTTTTTTATTCTTATGCTTCATACTTAGTGTATACGTAGAAACTGCCTTCTAGGTGGTTGGCCGTTGAAATGGAAATATTGTACTTGCTACAGACACTTAAATGACTGAAAATCGTATTAGTTGTTATTTGGCTGCCTGATTTGCTTTAAACAAGTGTTAGTAAAACGTTGAACGTTTTTGTATTCTTCTAATAGCTATTAACTATACACGTAACTCAAGTAGTAAAACACCATTTGAGGATATGGTGCCTTGAAAACCATGAAGACAACAACAACCAACTTTTTCAATATAACACTACTTAAGATGTGCAATTTGTATGTAGAGTTTTTAGGCTATCTTAATTAAAGTGGAAGAAATATATGAAGAGAAAGGTAAACTGTGGTAAATAACAGCATGATTTGAAGAGGAACTATTAAGAGTACTACTATGCCCAAAAGTAGTGGATTTAATTGTAATCAGCCTATTCTATTGATCACAGATTTTAGCCATTGGCTTGTGCAGATAAGGAACTATTGGAGGGGAGAAAAATAAAAGGTACAGAGAAGCATATGGATGATAAGGACGTTATAGTTATAGGCGATTTTTTGATAAGACATGTAGATAGGATAGTTTGTGGGATAAATAGGGAAAAAAAAGAGTTAGATTATGCTACCCAGGAGCACAGGTGGAGGATATAACTAACAGAGAAAGAGATATAATAAACGTGGTTAGCAATTATGCAGTTTTTTGTGCACGTAGGGGATAATGATGTAGGGAAAAGTAGGTCAGGGGAGCTAATTAATAAATACAAGGGGTTTATAAAGACATTTAAATTAAATAAAAAGAGACATAATTCAATTGTGCCTAGAATACTGTTGAGAATTAATTGTGGGAATGAAATTATAAGTAGATCACTAGGGCTAAATGCTAGACTTAGATTAATGAAGGCCAGGATAAACTAAATAAAAAAAACAAGATGTAGAGAAAAGTTTAGCATAGGAAATTAGTATAGAAGTAGTTATAAGGATAGGCTTAATTGTTACTATTATAATGCTAGAAGTATAAGAAATAAAATAGATGACTTTAGAGCACTTGTAGGAATGGAGGATTTTGATATAATGGGAATAACTGAAACATGGTTAGATGTAGATGATTTTGATGACAGAAATTACATTGAAATACAGGGTTACAGGTTATTTATTAGGGATAGAGTACTAAAGTACATATACTTTATATGTAAAACGTGAGTTACATTCTGTTGAAGTTGATGATATAAAAGATAATAGTAAGGAGATTCCATCCATTTGAGTTTCTATTAGCGGATATAAAAAGAAAATGTATTTATTGGAGATTTATTACAGACCACCAGCTGATACTGCTGAAACTAGTGAGAAACTTTACAGTGAGATTAGTATTTCAGCCGTTAATGAAGTCATAATTATTGGTGAATTTAAGTTCAGGCATATAGAATGGGAAATGCTAAAGTCAAACCATAAGGAAAAATGTTTCTGCAAACTGTTCAAGATGACTTTCTTTACCAATTGGTCAAGGAATCTACTAGAAACAATGCTATTTTTAAATTTATTGTTAACTTCAAATATAGAAATTATACAGAGGGTGGAAATTGGGGAAAATCTGGGTGCAAGTGATCATTGCTCTATTAGGTTCAATGTTTTGCTGCATATTGAGATAAGGAATAATGATATTTTTGTTAAAAATTACAAAAAACAAATTTTGAAAGGATGCAACAAGAAGTATTTGTTGTGAATTGGACAGCTGAGTAATTTCATACTCTTATCAAATGTGGGAAATTTTTAAAATTACATTTTTGAACATTCATTATAGAAAGAAAAGAGTGGCTGCAAGTAAAAAACCAGGTTGGGACACAAAGGCTAAAAGAGATAAAATTCAAGAAAAGTATGACAAATTTAAGAAATTTAAAAGGACTGGTTTGACGGGAGATTTAGAAGATTATAGAAAATGAAGAAATTGGTCAAACAGGAAATTATGACATAAAAAAGGATGTATGAAAAAAGGTTGGTTGAGAAGGTAAAAATTAACAGTAAGGAATTTCTTTAAATACATTAAGGCTAAACAAAATGTAAGGATGGAGGTAGGACCCTTGAACGATGAGAAGACTTGTATCTGATGATTATGAGATGGCTGGGTTATTAAATTTTGCTTTCTTCAGTTTTTACCAATGAAGATTTAAGCAGTATTCATCATCTTGAACAGTGAATAGGTGGAAACAGGATCGAACAAAATGATTGCATTAGTTCTAAACTGGTTTAAAAAATGAAAGTTTAAATAAAGATAATATTTCTCCAAGATTTCTGCTGATTTACAAACAGATGTAGATCATTTATTGAGTTGGGCAAATAAATGGCAGATGGGTTTTAGTTGTAATAAATGCAAGATAATGCATGTGGGTTATCATAGTTTGAATTATAAGTATAATTTAAATGGGAATAACATTAACAGTGTAATAGTCGATCAGTCTCTAAAGCTATCCAAGCAGTGTGCTCTTGCTAGTGATAGGGCAAATAAAATTTTAGGTTGTATCTAGGTCGCTGGGCCAATCTCAACCAAAGTTTGTGGCATATTAATGACACTCCTCTATCTCTCCACCCCCATTTTTGCTGTTATTCAGCACTTATTATCTTTAACGTAAGTTAACGTTAACTACATTTATAGATGGCGCCACGTCCTTACACAGAAACAAACAAACTTTATTACATTTTCTGTAACGCGGCCAATGACCGTCAATTAATTAATCACCTGAAGACAAAGTGGACACATGTATTTTTAGTTCAACAGTGTTTCACTATTACTTCAAAGAGGTCGCACGTTGCTTTCCACCTATACAGTAATTGTAAGTAAATGGTATAATATGTATCTGTGTATATATAAGTAGTGTTACTTTCCAAAACAGTACACGCACCAACTACACTTCTACCTAAGTGTGTCAAGAAAAAACGTTTCTTGAGTTATACCTACTTCCTACTTTGACCAGTGACCTTACAACTTTGGCCCGTAAAATACTTCTGCGATCAATAACCGTCAAATAATTAATAATGTGGAAAGATGTTAAGAGTAGGGTGTTAAAAGCGGGTAACAGAAAGCACACCCTATTACCACTACTTTAGCTGCTACCTCTTCCTTCAAAGTCATCCTGACCATCGCACAGTGTATACCACGTTTTAAATATATACACAGTGAGTTCTTAAAGTTTATACGAAACATTTGGTGAGGTAATAATAAATACTGTAATAATATGTTATAAATGTATTGTGTGAAAGTTAGGATTTTTATCCTGCTTATCGTAACATCCACCACATTTTTTTTTCAGTTCATAATCCGGACAAAGGACGGGTACCTCAGCTTGCGATAAATAACACAAAATTTCTAACTTTTACACAATATATTTAGAACATAACATATTATTACCTCACCCCACATTTTCTATAAGCTTTAAGAACTCACTGTATACACTGAGTGATGGTCAGAGTGACTTTGTACGAAGAGGTAACGGTCAAAGTAATGGCGGTAGGGGTGTTTCCAGTTACCCGCTTTCAACACCAGCTGTAAATGTCCTTCAACACTGTTTCACGTTATTAATTGGTCATTGGTCACAGAAGTGTCTTAAGGAATGAAGTTGAAAGGTCACGGGTCAAAGTAGAAAGTGGGTATAACTCAAGAAACGTCTCTTGATATCAGCGTTATGTTGTAGTATAAACTTCATCTGAATTTATTGAAATAGTGGCAGCCACATTTTTTTAATTACATTCCTCCATAGAGAATACTAGAGCATTCTCTGAGATATATAAGACGTTTTATGGTCTCCCCTCACACTGTATGTATGTTGTGTTATAGAAAATTTAACATAGTTGTTTTTGTTTGGTGTAAGAGTGTAGCACCATCTATGAATATAGTTAAAGTCAAAAATAGTAAATGCTCAATAACAGTAATAATGGGGTGGAGGGCTTTTGAATCCCCATAAACATGCTCCTATTCCCAAACTATCAGCCCACAAAGTTTGGTTGAGATTGGCCCAACGACCTAGCACTAGTTATATAAGGAACAAATAGACAGACACAGACGTTTTTGTTCTTTATATATGTTGAAAAGGTATATTCTGGAAACAAAAGATCAAGTATCTTGAAATGAAATGTGTTCGAAAAATTCATGATAAAAATGTGTATAAATTAAAACAAATCTATATTAATATTAAACTTGTTGTATGCTTATGTGCAACAATGTTTTTTTCTCAAACTAGAACTGAAAACATAAACTGTCATAACTAAATTTAAGAACACTTTTGTAACTATTTCCAAATATTAAGCGTTGTTTATTTCTAAAATGATTGCAAGATTTCCCGGATGTGAAAAGTGTTTAAGAGATAAAAGATTTTGCGAAAGGAAATCGTACATCGTTAAAAGTTGTAGGTAGGTCTTTTCTTAAGTTGCTGTGCCTAGCAGCAGACCAATAGTACGGTTCAGTTCCCTTGAAGTTGAAAGAGATAACTCAAAAGAAAGGAAATTCCAAACTAATTAAACATAAAGCCGTTTCATTTAAACTAAGCAGGTCTGGAGGCACACTGCGGTAAGTCGGGGCAACATTATCAATCGTTAGAAATTCTTAGAAGCTAAGCACATTAGTTATAATATACAAATTAAATGTCTACATAAATATTTTGAGTGTAGGTTAGGTGTTCCGTTTTAAAGTATAAGCGGATCGGTTTCTTCAGTTCTGCTGCTACTATTACGCGTCGTGGCTATAAATAAAAAATCGTAATGAATTTATTCGCCAAATTTCGTTGAAGTCGCATCATTTGGGACACGTGTTTAAAGAAAAGCTCGAAATGAGTCAGAACCTCCATGCCACAACTAATGTTACTCTTACATAAACACTTATCATCACACAAATTACAATTGTCGTAACAGTCGTTGCACTAAAACTACGAGTATTCTTCGTGTCAGTAAATAATTAAAAGAAGTTTAAAAGCGATTTGTTACAGATCATCATTCTACTAATCTGAAAATATCGTAATTCGTTTTCCAAACCTGAAGTTCATGATAGAACAAGACTGGTGGAATAAATTGGTACTATTGTTATAACAAATACAAGAAAACTCAGAAAAAATTCAAACTATTATTTGATTTTTATAAGTCAAGAGAGGTCAAGGTGCAAAAACAGCGGGAATATAGGGGCAAAAACAGCGGGAATGTTGTACCTCTTTATTTAATGCTCCCCAGTGGCACAGCGGTATGTCTGCGAACTTACAACGCTAGAATCCGTGTTTCGATACCCGTGGTGGGCAGAGCACAGAAATCCCATTGTGTAGCGTTGTGCTTAATTACAAACAAACAAACTTTATTTAGTTTGTCTTCAAAATGCAAGAGATAAAAAAAAGTGTCTACAGTTTTCTTGTGTTATTATATACCTTGGAACGTGAAAACTGTTACTTATGTGAATTAAAGTTTTTAAAACGATTAACGTTTTTATTTTATTTTACTTAAAATAAACAGGAAGTTTGGGACTGAATCGACACTGAAGGATATCATCATGAAGCAAACACTGTTAACATTGTTGGTGGTCGTATCTCTAACAATCTGTTGGTTTGTGTCAATGTACGCAGAAGCAAAACGCTATGAAGACCCTACTCCAGTATGTTCTGCTAGATTTCAGTCCGTAAGTAGCCCGTTCCTCAAACTTCAGGTTTTATTAACCAACGCATATGTAGCTGATTATAGCGTAAGAAACGAATCAAAATAATGCAAGAACGCTTTAAAAATGAGTTATTTTAATGAAACTGCAGACTGACAGGACATTTAATATTTATTGATACTCAGATACTGGATACGTTATGTACACTTTCTGTAGAACACAACTATACTCTACAAATTTTTTTCTGAGCTGAAATTAAGACATACATTTTTGTATATAAATGAATTATCTGCGTTTTTTACTAGTTAGTGTTTATATGGACATACTTGTTGAAGTATGTTATGTTAAGATAAGCCATCTTAAGACTTACTTGCGATTTATAATGATATTCTTTACCATTATATATGTATTAAATGACAAGCTACTAATCGGAGCTACTGTTTCGTACACCAGTTTTTGCCTAATATATCACCAACTCCATATTGTGCTCATGCTAGTTACTAGATATACACGCAAGATGAAAAGCATTTTAAGACAGTTATCTAGACCGAAGAAATATTAAGAAATTAATTTTAAACTTAAAAGATAAAAGTCATGTTGTACCTATGAATGAGGTAAAAAGTTAATTTTTTTACAGTTGGATTTTAAAAAATTTTCACAGAAAGCACTGTACCTTTAGTCTACTAAAGATTAAATATATCTAATATAATCTGTAATACATATTGATGACCTAAGAACACGTAAATTATCATGTTATACGGGGTACCGGCATGGCCAGGTGGATAGGGAGCTCGACTCGCCATCTGCGGGTCGCGGATTCGAATCCCCGTCCCACCAAACATGCTCGCCCTTTCAGCCATGGGGGCGTTATATTGTGACAGTCAATCCTACTATTCGTTGGTAAAAGAGTTGGCGGTGGGTGGAGATGACTAGTTGCCTTTCCTCTAGTCTTACACTACTAAATTAGGGACGGATAGCGCAGACAGCCCTCGTGTAGCTTTGCGCGAAATTCAAAACAAACAAAAACAAAATGTTATACTGAAAACTGTTATTAGATATACATTGTTCTGAATGTTAATCAAATATCATTTACTATTTCATTCAGTGCCTCAACCGCCCGTGCTGTATTCCTTACGACTGCAATAGCGATAATAAATGTATTTGAAACGAAGAAAAAAAGAGTACCTGAAACCGACTTTATCTTATCTCGTCACTTCCAAAACCTTCAAGAGGTCACAGTATATTCGGAGAGAGTATTATTTTTATTAAATAACTCTGGTTTAATTATATGCTTTCTAAATGGATCTGTTATGTCTGTTAATGAACTAATATTAAGCGTAATTTTGTCTTTAATCAACGTTTTATGCTTTTTATTAATAATACAAAGTTTCTGAATAATTTTTCTTAAGAAGTTTGGTTAACACTGGCCTGTATACATTTTTATGACAAATAAAATTGTGTTTAGCCTTCACTAGAGTTTTTTTTTCTTTTGTTAAATCAAGCTTACTTGGATAGAAAATAATTTCAATTCGCCATGGCTGACATAGGAACCTGGTTTTTCATGTTATGATGCATTACCAGTAATATGCCCTGAAGAACCTATAAAGACAAGGGACTTGGTGATTCATGTTATGATACATTACCAGTAATATGACCCGAAGAAGCTATAAAAACAAAGTACTTGGTGATTCATGTTATGACGCATTACCAGTAATATGCCCTGAAGAACCTATAAAGACAAGGGACTTGGTGATTCATGTTATGATACATTGCCAGTAATATGACCTGAAAAAGCTATAAAAACAAGGTACTTGGTGATTCATGTTATGATACATTACCAGTAATATGACCTGAAGAAGCTATAAAAACAAGGGACTTGGTGATTCATGTTATGATACATTACCAGTAATATGACCTGAAGAAGCTATAAAAACAAGCGTACTCGATGAGGAAACAATATGATCAGAACAAACTACTTTTGCACAAATACGGTTATAGGTGTTTAAGATAGTTAGAGCACTTTCATGTACACTTTAAATATTTCGTGTTTTCTTCTTATTATTCTTCATATGAGGGTGCGACGTCGTAAAAAGTTTAAATCTAATGAAACGTTCATTATGACCATGAATTGTTTCACTCATCAACGTTTAGATACTTTCACAGTTTACTCTCGGCTCTCATACAAACCAATCTCAAGGTATTATCCCAACATAACTGAATCATGCAAACAAGTACATAAGAATTCTTGTCAAAAACATTCGTTACACATCGCTGTTATTGTATACACCCACCTATATGGGTCCTGCCTCCTATGACATCTCTGCAGTTAAAGAATATTCTAAGTTAATTATAGTGTTACATGTCAGTTATGAATGGACAACCTTTCAAGTTTAGCTTGATCTTCATTTTATTGTTAATTACATAACATTTATGGAGATCTGAGGGAAAATTCACAGTGTTAGGACACATCACAATCACAAAGGAAGGTTATGCGTTACTTGCTCCTATCACGTGTCCCAGTATTTCCCGGATGTACAAGGTGTTTAAGAGATAGACGATTCAGTAAAAGGAAACTGTAGTTAATTAGGTATTTTTGACTTTGTGATATTGTCCTCAGTAAAAGATAAACAAAGTAGTTTGTATACCAGATGTTCAAATATAACAGTTATTAAGAAGTTCAGCATTAACAGTGCTGAATACAAAATCAGATAAACCATTTTCACATATTCAATCCATAACTGACGCTCATTATTCAAGTTCGTTTTAACCAAGGGAACTCTAATTATTCGAACGATTTCTTTGTATATTTCATATTCATCAGTTTATGTCGAACTTTATGACATGTTTGATCATGATTTTTGTTTCACAATATCATGAAAATTTAATGCAGATATTAAGAATGTTTCATAAAAAATTCAAATGAAAATTTACATTTTCAATATTTCTTTACATGATATCGCTTTGCAGTCAGGGTTAAATAGATTATTCAAATGTTCTGAATTAGAGCAATACAGATTAATAGGTTATATACATGTAAATAAGTATATATTTATATACCTGAATCTACAGAGATTTAACGAATTACGTGTAATTACAAAAGCTTAGATAAAACAATGTGTATAAACGTTAAATAAATTTTAGAAATAAAGGTTAATATGTGTAATGATATGAATAGTGTAATATTAAATGTGTAACTGGAATATTTAGGTTTAACAGAAAAGCATATTAATGCTAAACATTTTACACAACTGGAACTTTGAAAGCTGTTAGACCGATTGCTGCTCACATATTAAGCACTTTTAGCGATTTGCGAGTATTTTTAAAGTAGTGAATAATTTCCATATATAGTTAGTGCTATATTTTGTAGTGTAGATCTTACACGTACATTCAAAAATAATTTTGCTGTATTTTGTGGTGTAGATCTTACACGTCCATTCAACAATAATTTTGATGTATTTTGTGGTGTAGATCTTACACATCCATTCAACAATAATTTTGTGGTGTAGATCTTACACGTCCATTCAACAAGAATTTTGCTGTATTTTGTGGTGTGGTTCTGACACGTACATTCAACAAGAATTTTGCTGTATTTTGTGGTGTAAATTTTACACGTCCATTCAACAAGAATTTTGCTGTATTATGTGGTGTACGTCTTACACGTACATTCAACAATAATTTACCGACTAATGCTGTGTTATAATATATTAATAAGACGATTTTATTTCTTTTGAAATATAATTTTCTGTTTCATTCTAATTTTTGGTGAGATTTATTTCAATAACCATACTGTTTTCATTTGAACGAATGTAGTTCAGTGTTAGCGTGCCACATTATCAGTCATCGGATCTTTTCCTCGTGTTTAGTAACCGCAAAAAAAAAAAATGCACTTTTATATTATCAATATTATTTAAGTTTTAAGTTCTGTTGAATGAGATTCAAAAGGTATTGTATGTATTGTTTTTTGTATCAGGGTGAATCTGTTAACTTTAGTTGTCATAAATGTCATCACTATAAATAGAATAGTCGGGAAGGATACTTTAGGTTTAAAAACACAATTCATTAGAATAAATAGAAAAATTTGATAACATACGCTAGATATCAAAGCACTCTTGATTCACTACAATTAATTAAGTTGAATGTTGAATTTCGCACAAAGCTTCAATGAAGGTTTGGTTTGTAATGAATTTCGCGCAAAAGTACACGAGGGCTATCTGAGCTAGACGTCCATAATTTAGCAATAAGAGACTAGACGGAAGGCAGGTAGTCACCACCACTCACTGCCAACTCTTGGGCTACTCCTTTACCAACGAATAGTGGGATTAAGCGTCACATTATGACACCCACACGGCTGAAAGGGCGAGCATGTTTGGCGTGGATGCGAACCCGCTATCCTCAGATTGTGAGTCGAGCACCCTAACCCCCTGGTCATACAGGGCCTGCTACAGGAGAGCTATTTCCTCTATCTATCTCTAATCTTGAAATGATAGACCAAAGGAAAGACAGCTAGTCAATCAACCCCCCCATCCCACCCCCGTCAGTTGTTAGACTGCTCTTGTCTGACTGGATAGTTGCATTTGACTGTCAACCTAATAACGCATCCACTGTTTTATGTTTTTTGCTGCAACGGAATACGAACGAGGGACTCATACACCCATAGTCCTACGTACCACACTACGTACCCTTGACAACACATCTACAGTCCTACGTGTTAACAACTGGACCACATACCCACAGTCATACGTGTTAACAAACGGGACCACACACCCACAGTCCTACGTGTTAACAACTGGACCACACACCCATAGTCTTGTATACCAACCAATGAGCTACATAAAAAGGAGAAATCAATGATAGAAATCGCGAAATGTTTTCTAGGATTTCTTCATTTTTCTCATGTGAACGTGGTACTTTAAAGTGGTCTTGATAACCAGGTCCATCTTCTTCCAGGTAGGAGGGCTAAGGTGGATCAGAAAGAATATTAGGGGTGTTTTGCCGTCAAGATATGTGGGTTATTGGGAGTGCTGGACACACTAGTTGGGGTAGCTAAGGCAAATTTTCTGGTGACTTTAGCTCTCCCCCCTCCAAAGCCCTAGCGTCATAATCATTACTCATTGTGTTCTGTTTTTGTGTTTTTGATGGTTTCTAAGTTACTATCAATTTTTTTTTAAATTAATATTCAAAGCAAGAAGTTCATGTTTTTCTGTTGTTGATTATACATTTTTACATTTCAGTCAATATTTGGCCAAAATAAAGATACTACTTGATAAAAGGAACTAACAAAACAGACAAAATACGTGCCTACGCTTGAGAAACAACTTGAATTAAAAACTTTATAAACTGCTCTATAGTTAGTTTTATTATATCCCACACTTATATGTTAAGCATACGTGATACAGATAGATATTGTTATTTGAAGCAAGCCTTGAACAATTCTCAATATGGTGTAGGCAAATATGTATTGATAAGACAGTTTGTCAGGAGTATGTAAATATTTACTGGATTCAATTATCATGTCTGTGGCAGTTGAAATATTTTGTTAAACTTAAAATAAATCCGTATTTTATTTTAAAACATTTTCTGGTACACTAAGTGAAGGTTTTATTTAAACAAAGCATAAATCAAAAAGATGACTCTATAATATGTTCCTGTTTACTACAGAGAATTATTTAATTTTTTCCAGTTATTGCTTTATTTTAGGCCTAGCATGGCCTGATGATTTCGGCGGTCTACAGAGGAAAAACGTATTTAAAATCTCATGACTTCAAAATATCAACTTCAGTAAAACAAAATTGGTTAAAAATGATATAATCTTACACGTGCAAGGAGCTTCATGTGGATATTCTTTTTCTGACTATATGATCAGCAAGAGATCTTAAGGTTTGGTGGCACAACTAAGATCCCATAAAACTCCTTAAAGCTGAACATCAGCTGGAATATTGTTAAGTGGAATTCTGTGTTGAAATTTTCTACAGGTCTAGAATGAACTTTCTTAATATTGAAATATTGTTCAAGAAAATTGTAGGTCAGGTCCAGGATGTGCTTTGGAAGCTTGACATATTGAAATCTACTATTGAACAGAATGAATTCACGCAGCTTGAAGTATTGTTGAGGAAAGCTTTTCTTCCTGAGATATACTACAGGCCTGATGAGAACTCTTTGTTGAGATCAATTACAGATCCAGTATGAGCGTCTAAAGTCATGCGTTTTTTTACATACTGTTATATATCAACTGTCCAATCTTTCAAGTTGTAATAATTGTGTCGGTTTGGTGAGCTTTAAGATCTACATGCAAAGGTTTTACTGACAGGATAAGAATAGTTTCCAAATTTAAGAAAATTACAAAAAGTTAATTTGAAACTATACAAAAATGTGTTACATGGAAAACTTCTCCTAACTTGCAAAAGTGAACATTTTATTCCAAAATTTGTTCAGTTAAAGGCTACCAGTAACAACTGGTGTTTTTTTAAAAGAATACAAACGTTCTTAATATATATTTTTGAACTTGGAAATTAAAGATAAGGCCTGTCAAATAAAAACTCGAAAGAAACAATTAGAAGAAGTTCTGGAACAACTGATAAACAACTTAGGGTATTTAAAAATCAAAATTATCTACTGTATTAATAAAGCTCTAACTGAGACTAGAACTAAGCAGTTATGTAAACTTAATAATCTCAAAAGTGTAGATGTGGGCACACGCTCTTGAGACTCCCAGATGATGTTATTCATAATTGAACACACTGTAATTGGTTTTATGATGAAATAAGAGTTTTAGCCATAGGGTGGTAATTTGCTATCCCCATCTGGAAAGTTAATGCGAAATATTTTTAAGATTTTGAAATCATTTTATCCAGGGATTAAGTTTGGAAAATTATGTGCAGAACTTTTAATCAGATTAAAAACTGAAGCCACTGGTCGTGCCCTCGGGGTGTTACGGATCTTACACCTAGAGAAAAAGAATAGTAATTTAAGCACGTACGAAACCCAGGCTTTGAAAGCTTTACAAAACTGCAAAGAAATTGTAATCACAAAACCAAATAAAGGTAATTGGGTTGTAATTTTAAATAAAGCGCATTACATTAAAAAACTGGAATATATTCTAAGTAATTCGGATAAGGTTTTCAACTTTAGGAGTGAACCAATGGTAAACAAATAATTCAAACTTACGAGATAGCTTTTAAAGATAAAAAAAACGGTTTCATAACTGGAAAAAAATACATACAGCGGTATGTCTGCGGACTTACAACGCTAGAAACCGGGTTTCGGTACCCGTGGTGGATAGAGCACAGATAGCCCATGTGTAGCTTTGTGCTTAATTCCAGACAAACAAACAAAATCTTTGCAAATGCCAAATGCACTGCAAACGGATTGTTTTGGTATGTGCTCATAACTCTGTTTCTTAAGCTTTGTAATTTTACTATCTATATTATAATCTTGATGTCTCCTATATTTTCACATTTTCCACCTGAATATAAAGTGTATTCGGTTTCAATGCGTTTACTGCTCCATCATACTTTTGCTTGCTAATACCATGATCTAAATCCCAAGCTACCACATACTTATCTTCACTGTCTTTCTTCAATTCAGTAATTTTATTAATCATCTGTTTGGAATTATCTCGCGTATTTTCTATTCCATTCCTACTACATCTATGTTAGAGTTTTTTATACCTGGTCTGTGTATTACTTCATAATCACAATCTTCTAACAGTAATGACCCTCTATCTAACCTAGATAATGTCATTAACCACTGAAATGGTGCATGATCTGTAATTATGGTGAATTTTCTTCCATACAGATAACATCAGAATTCCTTGATACCATGCAATACTGCCAGGCATTCTTGCTTTTCCTAACCGTCTATGCTGGTAAGATAACTGTCACAATACTGTATAATATGAAGCATCTTTATTTAGAAAGAATTCTTTGATTATTCTGGTCAACTCAGAATTGGTGCTTTGGGTAGTGAATTACTTAATTTCTCGAATGTTACCTTTTTTATTATTCATACACTGTAAACAGCAACTTTATTTGTGAGTTCTGTTTAGGATCTCGCTGTATTACAAAATGTGAAGTCACAATCTCAAGTCCAATCATATAAAGACTAAAAATACACAACTTTTATGTCATTGAAATAACAAAAAAATCCAGGTTCTTGTAGTCTTTACAATATTGCATATTAATCTTCAGAATGTATCAGTTATGGTTTGTGAAATTTTGTTTTAATCTTTTTAGCAGATGTGTTTTTAAATAATTTATGTTGGTTCTTTTTATATGTTTGCCAGTGATATTTGTTATTATAAAGCAATCAATATTATAAAAGAGTTTTATGTTTACATAAAAGGAAAGTATGATAAGTTAGTTAACAAATTGATGGAATCACTCTATACTTCTTTTTCACTATTATTCCCTATTAGAAAGTAACTTGTAATTATTTTGAATTACTGATGCACATTGCGTTTTTCCTCCTACTTATCATTCCAGAACAAATTTGCCGAGTCATTGGCATAAATAGTTAATGAGCTAGAAGAGATAATAACTGTAAGGGAACAGTGTAAATTATATGAAATGACGCAATGAAACACGGTTTGTGTTTTTTAAAGTATTCACTCTGAGAATTTGAAATTTCATCATACAGTAGCGACATTGAAATTTTTTAAACAGTAACGTGGCACGTGCAATGAAAGGAAAGAATACCTAAAACAAATATAATTATTGATTAGCGATAGAATGACAAATGAAATATTATAATTATAATATATTCTAGGGTAACCATATATTCATAAAATACAGTTAACAAATCACAGTTTTAAAATTTCCAAAATACTATTGAGAATGGACTTAGACATATAATAATGACGATTGTTTGTTTGTTATGGATTTCGCGCAAAGCTACACGAGGGCTATCTGCGCTAGCCGTCTCTAATTTTGCAGTGCAAGACTAGAGGGAAGGCAGCTAGTTATTACTACCCACCGCCAACTTTTGGGCTACTCTTTTACCAAAATGACGAAACAATATAAAATGTATGGGGTATGGAAATATGTTTTTTTTAAATTTCCACAATACTATCGACAATGGACTTAAACACATCAAAATAACGAAGCAAAAAAAAAATGAGATGTGGAAATAAATTTTATAGAATATCCAGTATACCAATTAGACACACCAAAATAACGAAACAATAAACTGGACGAGAAAATGGCCTCGCAGATCCACAGTCTGGCACGCTGCCTATTAGATCAAACTCAATCTCAAAAATTGGTGCGACTTTACCTGAGCTAAACAAAAATGACGAAGATATTTATCCATTTCACAGAATCATCAGCTGGTTAGAATTGTATTCAAAATATTAAGAAGTTTACTTGTATAGTGTCCCTATAGCGCAGTGGATAGCGCGTTGGATTTCTAATCGAAAGATACCGGGTTCGTTCCCCGGCACGAATGCCACCACCATTGCCTGGTCCCAAGTCCAGGATGAGAAATGAGGAGGGTTGGGCGCGGGGCTAGCAACCAACCTACTAAATTACTGCAAAAACAACTTTCGTCGGCGAGGTGTTGATGCGGCCCTATGCTCCAGTGGGAGTCTACAGGGATTATTATTATATATTATTACTTGTATAACAGATATTTCCACAAGGAAAAAGGAAAACGAAATTCATCACCTTTATTGTAATAATGTATGTTATAGTGGAATGTAATAAGAATTAAAAAAAAAAAAACTTATACATTTGCAATAGAAAAACTAAATTATTATAGAATATACATACCACTAAGCCATATAATTATAGAATATACATACCACTAAGCCATATAATTATAGAATATACATACCACTAAGCCATATAATTTACAATATGGAAATTGTTTGTGTTTTCTTTGGATTAGTCATTGTAAGAAAAATAATCTCTATGTGAGTCATTAATACGCAATTAGCTTAGTTTTCCTTAGAAAACGAACCCATGTTTTCGTAGAACAATCACTCGGAATCAGCCAGTTACTCTTTCACTACTTATGAAATGTTTTAATCCTTATCCTACGTGAAACTCACGTGTAACATGTAGGAGCAAATCCGGGAAGAGCTAGTCATAAAAATGATCCCCGGATGTATAAAATAGCGATAAAAAATAACTCCAAAGCTTACAAGCCTTCATGAGGTCCATCAGCTACACAGAGAGCCAGACTTAACCTCGCAGTCTTCTTGACACGTACTGAAGGACGAGAAACTTATTATTAGTTTACACACTTAAATTTGTAAAGCACAAATACAGGAAAAGAAGAAGTTTGGACAAGTCTGCCATCTTTATTTCAGTTCTTCAGGTCAGTTTGCTAGCTTTTTACTTTATGAAATACTTTACAAATTTTATAAAGTGCTTCACATTACACATTAATGTTCATTGTCTATTTTTAATAAGGTTTTTTTTTTCGTCCTGATGAAACGTAAACCGTAATATGTTTATTAACTCCTTATACTTTTTAAACTGAAAAAGGGTGTGGAAAAATCTATAAGTTTGGAATTCCTGAATTTTTTTATACCACAAAACAGAAGTGATTTAACACGACTGATGGAACTAAGGATAGAAATATAATGTTTGGATAATCGAATTAGACGAATAAAATCAATTTGTTTAGAAATATTGCACGTTTAATATGTATCTTTAAAATTAATAATTCAACACAATACAATAACACAGACTGAAACTTATCAACCGCTCTGTTTTGTTGCCTTTGATAACCCCCGGATCTTCCACAAGACCTCTCTGAGAAGTTTTGATAATCTTTCTTAATGTGAGAACAATGTTAAAGGAAAGCCATGTTTCAATAAAGCAAGATATCCACGACAGTCTGTGATAACTTCACATTATAATTATTAGCTTTTTCTTTCTTAAATAGATTACAAAAATCACCACAAACATGAAACGGGCTTTCCTGTTGATGACTATCAGCGTTCTGACAGTATTCTTTTTGACAACTTGCCACGTTAATCCAGTGTCAGCGGCTTACGACTGGTCACTCCGCAGTAGACCTAAATGTGCTACTTTGGGTCAGTCGGTAAGTATATAGATGTTTTAACTCTCTTAAAGCGCAGCATACGTTTCTTTTATTTCTTACTTGGGTCTATTGAGATATTCTTGTTTAAATTAAGAACAGTATATCTTAGAATAATAAAAACAAAATTAGTGAATATTTCTCTATCATACCAGTTATACTATTACCATTATAAAAAAGACCCATTTTTCATTAAAACATCAATATAACCCAAGGGCATGCTACATTTTATTATTATGGAACACAATTGATAACGTTTTTTTGAATTTCAGTATTATAATAATAACAAACAAAACGCGGTTCCTTTCGAAAAAAACTGTTCTCCTAATTATATAACTTTCCATTCATTATAACATTACTGAACCTCCGAATTTTACGCACTTGCTAGAAATGGTAGTTTTTAACTGACTATTTAGAGAAGATATACTTCATAAAATACACCAATAATTATGGCTTTAGATATTGATATTACTTAGTGTTAATTGATATTCTTTAGTGTTATATATTAGAATATATTAGTCAGTAAAAAGTGTATCACATTCTGTGCTATAATGTAAAGGAAAACATTTTACAGTAAATGGTGTAACCATTATGAAGTTGGTTGTACTATCGTTTAACCGATATATGAATATCAGAGTTGATGTGGAATTTCTTGAAGTGGTTGAGTTGAAAAATGTAAAAGTTAACGAAGAAATTGTCGTTGAGATAATTGTATGTCTTGAACCTTCCACTAGTTTTTATGTTACTGTATTTATTGTAAGTCTTGAACCTTCCACTAGTTTTTATGTTAATGTATTTATTGTAAGTCTTGAACCTTCCACTAGTTTTTATGTTAATGTATTTATTGTAAGTCTTGAACCTTCCACTAGTTTTTATGTTAATGTATTTATTGTAAGTCTTGAACCTTCCACTATTTTTATTGTTAATGTATTTATTGAATTATTAGCTTTTTCAGAAGACAAAATATTGCATTTTAAAAGACAACTCCTAAATATACATGTCTGCACCAACACAAGTTTTCTATGTATTTGTTGCTATTGTTGTTTTTCTGGGGGACTGGGGGAGATATCAAGTTATTTTCAATGAAGTCGGATGCCCATAATGATATCAGTAATAATTACACAATTCAATAAATTATTTATTTGAGATGACTATGATCGATTGGTAGAAGTTCGTGAGTTCTATTGTATGGACGAATTTTGAACTTTATTATTTGTTGATGATCTTATTTGTTTTTGTGTACTTACAGTGCAGAACCTGGTCGGCGCCAAGCTGTTGCTGGCACCTGAAATGCAAGGCTTTTCGCTGTAGGAGGCGTTAGTTTGATGCACTTGATGAACAAATCATGATCAACGTCATATTCAACGACATACGATTGAATTCCATTCCTATAAAAAAAAACAAAAAAAACTGATCTATTCACAGAATGTTAATGCATTTTTTATGAGTTTTTATTTCTTTGATATTTTTTACTCTCACTTCTTTCATATTTTGTAATTATTAAACGATATGGACAAATAGAGTTATTGTAAAATGTACAGTGTGTTCACTTAGCATTTTAAACATGCAACATTGGACATTGAGAAGAAAGTGATTAACAGAGAATCGAACCCAAATATTAGGGCTATAAGTCTGTACACTTACCGCTGTCCCACCGATGGATTTCAAAGAACTGACATAATTATTTTTTCTTAGGTATCTTAATTTGCATATTTTTCTGCTTTCTTTTAATTTTACGTTTAATTGAACGTTTGAAAAATAATGATAATATTATTTGAGATACCGGTAAAGGGACTACAAGCTTGTACAAATTGTACTAATTTAAAAAATAACAACAGAAAATTTAGTGTTTACGTTAATGAAATATTACAAGTAAATGAAATAAGGTGTTAAGTATAAATTATTCATTACTACGATTAAGCACGGCTTCAAAAGCTAGAGCTTATTCACTAAAAACGATCCCAAACGTCAAACAGTTATTACTCAGCTTACTAGACAAGGTGACCGTAAACACCTCGGATAATAATGACTGGTTAGATACCTTGTATTAAACGTGAATTTAAACAAAGTTGTAAAGCACGTCACTAAAATAACAAAATCTTCATTTGGTCTCTATCAAATATACAATGTAACGAATACAACACGAATAGATAGTATATTTTCACAAGATTCCTGATTATATTTTAAGTAAAAATAATATTAAGGTTTCCCCCCGTCCGGGTAGTACTTGGAATTGGGCATTTTTAAACCAGAACGGTACCTTATACGACAAGGACTAAAAACCAAGTTAAAGACTCCAAGGTTCGTGTATTATCGTCCCTATCGTATTTAGAGGATGGAACAGCCGAGATGAACCATGAGGTCCGTTGTGGACTCTAAAAATTATGTTATGTTAATTCTTGACCTTATAGAAGAGTGATTGCCACTTTTATTGCCCACAGCTGAAGGTGCAGGGTGTGCTCAGTGGTATACCGCGGGCTGGTATCTTGGACCTTCAAATCAGCAGACTGGTATGCTAACTACTAAATTACATTCGGGCTTCTTACGGACGAAGTATGCATGTGCTATTACTATTTTCAATGTTACTACTTCTTAGAAACATTGATATCAAAATGACGTACAATATGAAAGACATAAAGACGTAGGTAGGTGCCTTTATAGAAGTGAGCAAAATCCTATCAACCAATAAATGTTGAATTAAAATGGTACTCTTTTAATCAGTTTATTATGATTGCAAAGCTGTTCAATTTTCATAGATATTAGAACATTTAATTTTCATTTATAACAGTTTGTACTTCTGAACGCTTTTACGTTCTATCATGGACTAAGTTCTCTTTGAACTTTGTTTCTGTTGGGTTTCCTTTCTAGCGCAAAGCTACACAATTGGCTATCTTTACTCTGTCCACCGCGAGGAATGGAGCCCAACCTTTAGCGTTGTTAGCCAGCAACTTCTCTCTCAACTTTGAACTTGGAACCGTGGTAACTAGCAGCTTGAAAATTTAAATAGCGCCTTTCTCGCAATAGTTATTTCTTTATCTCAGATGGCAGGAAGACAGATCGCTTAGTGAGAGACGAGGTATTGAATTCGATCCTGGAAAATGCCAAAGATACAAACTTTATTTTCTTTTTCCCCTTTGACATTTATCCTCCACGAATTTCCACGGAGTCAACTCTAGCCAATTACCCAAAAATCCTTAAAATAATATTTTTCAAAGAATAATAGTTTGAATGTGTTTTTGTCTTACATTTCTCAACTACTTTAGAGAGTCCTAATGATCCTGTTAATTATTCAATATTACACCTCATAACACTAATAATTTTGAAAGTTTAATTCATTTCCGATGTTTAATATATTTAATCGAAAACTGAGATCCATTATTTTGGAAATATCATTTGTTCATCTGGTGATGATGCCACAGAAAAAGGAAAGTTTATGTACGAGACGATGTAATTTTTGTTATTTTTATATTTATTACTAATGAGATATAATGCACCGTATTTGATGGCATATAGGACACATGGGTATATAAGACGCACCCCCATTTCAGCAGGTCAGATTCAGGAAAAAAGTTTTTAGTGTATTTAAGCATATATTGGTGAAAGTAATCTAACAGCACATTACACAAGCAGAAAACACTTGAACATAAACTAAAACACAGTAAGAAAATGGGGATACACTTTAATCATCTTCATAACTAGGAAATTCTTCATCTTCAAAACCAGAAAAATCTTCATCTTCGTCACTACTGCTGGAATCACTGACTTCAAATAACACATTATCTTCTGTGCCATCAAGAGCATTGCTAATGCCACACTTCTTAAGAGACTTCACAATGATTTTAGGCCTAACGTCATCCGAAGATTTCTTCACCCACTCACACACTTGGGCAATGGTGGGCTGCTTCATTCTTCCTGTGGGTGTGAGTTCATGATGTGGCTCAGTCATCCACTTGTTCTAATGTTCATGCATGTTTTGCTTAAATGGTTTATTCACAGACACATCTAAAGGCTGCAATTGGCTTGTCAGTCCACCAGGAATGACAGCTAACTGGGTTTTCAATTCACTCACCTTTTTTTTTAATGACTGTAGTTCTATGTGCTCTAAAGAGAAGGTTTTCCTAATAGTCCACCAGGACGCCTTGACCATACATTTTGTAACCACAAAATGGAATGAAACTCGTCCATCCAGCCTTTTTGGTGGATGTGCGCTCAACGCAAATACTTTAAATAGATAGATGGAGCATGCGGTAGCATTCCCTGTTGTTTGGTTGTAATTTGCCTCTATCTCTATCTTCGCTCACTGATTGGCCGAGCATTTTTCGAGTTGTTGACACAAGTTGGTCGCTATATCAAGTTTCCCAGTAAAGATAAAACAACGTGCCAAACCTTGTTTCTGAAGGGACAAGCGTTCGCACTTTTAAGAGATAGACCTTCCATCCTTTAACAGGATGCTGAAAATTCGACTGCGTCTGGCCTATGCAAATTTCCTATTTCGTAGTTGGAATGCTGTACTGATCGTATGCTAGGATAGTGAGCGTTAGGAAGACGATTAGCCTGCGGAAGGTCTCAACTTCGCATATTAGACGCAGGGCGATTTTTTGAGCCAAAATTTTGGGAAATAAGTGCGTCCTATATGCCGTCAAATACGGTACTTTCTGAATATCTTTTTATTTATCTTGATTAGTTTAAATTACAAAATAACACGACATTCTTAACACATGGGCCAAATAGACAAACCAGGCAGATTAAATGGCCGTTAGAATAAGAAAACTCGAAGGAAGTATAAAATTACAGTGTAAAAAACAGAGACAAGGTTAAATATAAAATCATAGAAAAGACAACAATCCATAAGTATAATCAATACAATGTAATAAAAAGTCACTTTTGTACCACCAAGGAAATAAAGTTTCTCACAGAGCATTTTGCCGACTTTTTCTGTTCCTTCTAGAAACAATTAACTCTTACTGCTTTTAATACAGCAATCTCTTTCAAGATTACTTAATGGTCATCACACGTCTACTGAAGCAGTCCAAGGTCGGATGGGAAACTAACACATACACGGTGTAGGAGCAGGTTCTTACTATTCTTTATAACTAAAGAATTAAACACCACAATATTTACTACAACTAATATTTCAAACCTAACAAACTCCAGAAAGGTTCAAGATAATTTCAGTTCACCTTTGGAAAAGCTTATTTTAAGCCAAAGGACGTACAGAACCCATATAATTAAATGTAATTGAGTAACCATAACATCATCAGTCCTGGATAGAGCAGGTTGCCTTTCAACTATTTTGGATTATTACAATAACACTGATGGTTCTGTAATCTTCAACCGTGAATCACAAGCTTATCTCAGTTTTTGTTTACACTCCTTTGCATATTATGACTCCATACTTACATTTTGAGCAGATTTACCAGCAAAAGATTATCTAATAACTATGTTTGTATAAGTAAATAAAAGGATAAAATGATGATTTTTAGGCCCAATGAAACATAAATTAAAGCCTACTAGTTTTGGAGACAGTCTGTATTCATAGCTGTGAGTGTTTTTCCCTTTATTTAGCTACATACTACACTACAATATGCCTAAAAATGAAATTATATGCTCTGTTCATTGTGTTCCTCTGACCACTCGTACCTTTTTAGAACACCTCAGTCAAGACATCGTCTACATGTGATACTGAACTATAGAATCATATGGAATTCCAAAGATAAATAATATTAAAAGACTAAAATATTTATTCAATAATGTTGAACTCCATAAAAACAAACAAAATCACATGTTTTAATATTCATTATTGTCCAATACTTGAAAGTCGTGTGTGGTTAACATCGTACTTTTCAAAGTTAAAATAAAGGTTCAATATTGTGCCCCACATACATGCCCATCATAAAGGTTTAATATTGTGCCCCACATACATGCCCATCAACTCTATTCACCAGTTTTTCACTCATAAACAAGGTTTGGACACGCACACAAACCAGATCACTTGAGAACTTTATAATAAAATCACATACATTTATTAACTTGATTTAAAACATACACTCAAAATATTAATGTTTTCTAAAACATATAATTGATAATTTCAAATGTAAGTACCAATAAAACTTAATCAAAGCATCCTAAGTTTGTGCTAATTGTGAAATAGATATTTTTCCCAAAAGCTTAATACCAGATGTCTCATGACATATATATATATATATAACTCATTATTTTATCACGAGATGGCGTTATAAACATTGTTCAGCAAAGCTATTATCTTTTTTTTTTTAATTTTAGGTAGTGGTTAGAGCACGTTCAAATTACATAGGATTCAACTGCTTGACTTGGGATACACGAACACGATTATTAAGATGGAATATCTGAAAAATCGTGCCCCGTATTGCATAAAAAAAACTTCAACTTAAAATATTTAATATTTTTGTCATAACATGTGGTAATGTCGAATTTCACTTACACTGTAAAGCATAGGCAGCCAACTCAACGGCGGTCTGGTAGGGACAGGTTAATTTGCCCGACAGAATGTCCTGCTTTAGCTGGAGGAAGAACAAGTACCTGTGGGGTCAGAAGGTCAGCGTGGGAGCGTTAAACGAAGCGTGTCGTGTGAACAATACGTACATCTAATTTTTATCTACACACACTGTTACTGGTACCGTTGTTGATAATACGTGGATAATCTCGTTTATTATATACGTAATAAAAAAGTTCAAATAATTTGGAGAAAGAGTTAAGTTTAACCGTTAGAAGTGTCCGAATAACACCCAGAGGCAATCACTAAATTATTTTATTCGTCAAATTATATACATCTGGTCCAATTCAATATTTTCATTTGTCACACTTTTCTGAATTTTTATGAATATAGAGTAAGTTACCTTGTAAGTTCTTCTCGGAGAATATTTGGTTCGGAAGAATAAAACTTGACACGAAGTCGAAATGTGTACGGAGGTCCAACTTGTAAAAAAAATTAAATATACAATTAACAAATTGGTGTGTGTGTGTGTGTATATAT